TCCTGCAGATGCCCAAGTCCCTTACATAAAATGCTCAAGTTCCTTACATACACCCWTGCATTTAACCTCCACACAGCCTCCAGTGTAATTTAAATCATCTCTATAGTACTTATATCACCTAATGTGATGCAAGTGATATTGTTTTGAGAAAAATCACAAATCACAAGAAAAAATGTCTGTACACATTCAATACAGAAACAATTTTTTTTCCAAACATTTTTGATACACATTGGGTTGAATCCACAAATGCAGAATAGAATCCATGGATAAGRAGGGCTGACTGCATGTATAAATGATCTTTCCCATACTCTTGCCTCTCAGTCTCAATAACTTTACCCCATGCCCTAGTACAGTCTCTTACTTTAAACTCTGGTCTAGACCTTGTCTTTCCCAGAAATACTACCCACCTCTGCAATATCAGTGCTATTTGTCTCACTGATTGACCATCTATCTATTCTTACTTTCCCAGCTCTTTCTTTCATTACCCTAACTTGAACACCCTTTGGACCCCTCTAAGACCTCCATCCAACTGATCCTACCAACTTTTCAGCATTCTTCTCTTTCTTCATGTCTTTACTTCCCTCTTCCTCAGGCTTAAGTCATATAATCAATCACTGTGGTCACTCCCTTCTGTTCATGTTTGATTTCATCTCTTGCTTCATTTTCATTCGCAGTGGTGATCTTCCTTTCAACCACATTAAAGATAAAACTTACACAATGGGAAAAAAATTTCTCATACCTCCATCACACCTGCCAAAAACCATCTATTCCATCTTTCCACCTGTTACCTAGCATCACAGATGCTATCTATGACCTTATTGTGCATAATTCCCATCCTGCCATGGACACCATCTCACAAATTCTCACCTCTCTTTAATATCATGCATTTTCTACTGGAGGTTTGCTATTTTGAAAAGAAACTCTATCTTGGCCTCACTTTTACTCCCTAGTAGCTTCCTTGTTCCTTTACTGTCTTTCATAGAAAAAAAAAAAGTTGTCTATATCCACAGCATCTATTTGTAGCCTTCATTCTCTCTTAAACCCACTTCAATCATGGCTTCATCTCCACCATGTCACCAAAACTGCTCTTATCCAAATCACCATTAACTTTCACTTTACTAAAATCAATGGCCAATTCTCAGTCCTCAACTTACTTGACTTTCAACTTGTAACCTAGATAATCACTCTTCTCTTCTGTGTAAGCTTTTTTAGCTTCTAGGACATGACGTTTCTAATCATTATTGCTGCGTTTTCTTGGCCTTTCTTACTGGTGGTTTATATCCTCTGTGACCATTTATTACTGTGTTAGAGTGCCCCAGGTCTTAGTCCTTCATCCTTTACCCTCTTTGTCTATACCCTTATCTCTCAGTATTCATAGGGGATTGGCTCCTGGACACCCCATGGGTGTCAAAAATCCATGATATTCAAGTCCATTATATAAAATGGTATAGTGTTGCATGTAACCAGTCCCATCCTCCTGTATATTTTAAATCATCCTATAATACTTTCTATAAGGTCCTTGCTTAGCATTTGGACAGCCATCTTAAGTGACAGCTGCCATTTTAAGAAAAATTATGCTTTCCCACCCAAGGGTATTTTTGAGAAAGGCTCACCACTCCCTCATACCAACCCTACCTTTCACTGCCCCCTGCWCAGATCTAATCCCTGAGCCTGCCCCATAAAAGTCCCAAATCCCAAGCCTGTTTTGCCTCTCTCCATCTATGGAGAAATGTGCCTTTATTTGTCAGCTCTGACAAATAAATTCTCATGTATATCTCTGCCTGGTCTCTGTCTTTCATTTCTTGCTCACCCATCTCTCAGTTTTTCACATTCCTTTAACTTGCAATACCTAATAAGATGTAAATGTTTTATGTATTGTTCAGGGAATAATGATAAGAGAAAAAGTCTGTTCATGTTCTGCATATATAAAAGTATTTTCCAAATAATTTTGATATGCACTTGATTAAATACAGAGATGCAAAACTTACCAAAATGAGGGACCAATTGTATTTCTTCATTTAGTTATCTCTTTCTATACAATGACTTTAAATGTCATGTATATGACACAGCTGTCAATTTTAAATCTCCTTTGTGGATTAATCTCTCAACTCCAGACATGTTTATCCTCCCACCCACATGATCTTACCACTTCTTGAACATCATATCCATGATCCAAATTCTGATCTCAGCCTTACCTTTTCCCTCAAACCAGACAAATATTCTTCCCCTGCAGCCTTCCCAATCTCAGATAACAGTAAGACAATTTATTCATACCAAAAACTTTTTGAGTCATCTTTAACCCTTTTTTCCCTTACCTCACTTACAATCTATTGGAGATTTATGTTGTTCCAATTTTAAAATATATCCAGAATCTAAATTATCACCATCATATCTTCTACTCTAATTCAGAACTACTATCATCTCTCAACTAGAGTATTTTGGAGGTTTCCTACTTGACCTTCCTCTTTTTGTCCTCTCCCCGCTACCCCATAGTGTATCCTCAAACAACTGAAGTGATTTCATTAAAATATTTCAGGTCATAAGACTCTTATTCTCAAAAYCTTCTAACATCTCCCATTTTAAACATTTCCCACTGTAAGTTTAAAGTACTTACAATGGCCTGCTACATCTCGTCCCTATGACTTCATTAAGCAGAGATTTTCCTCCTTGTTCACTACATTCTAGGTTCATTGATCTCCATATGCTTCTTCAAACTGGCAGATTGACTCCTACCCTAGGGAATTCAGTTGCCCAAACATCATGGTCCTCAGCCACTTCTATTCTTTGTACATCTCCACAATGTGACCTACTCTGCCCACCTGATAAAATTATAACATGCCCACTCTCCACTACCAGATTCCTCTACTTATTCTTTAATCCATAATGTCCTCATCATAAACACTACATATTTATTATGTTATATATAGTTAATATGTAACTATATACAGTAATTACAACTAAAAGATAGTTGTATACAACTATAATATTGGTTATATATTGTATAGTTTATCTATTTATTATGTTGACTTATTCTTTTTCCCACCTAGTAAGTGATCTCTTCTAGGGCAGGAATTTTTGTCTGTTCTCTGATGTATCTCAAGTACTCATTAAAAGGCAGGCAGGTAGAGCAATTAAAAAGCTATCGTAAGCTCTAAAAAACCACTGATGGAGTTCCGTTTGGTTCTACCCTATAAATATTTATTGGGAGTACAAAGACAAACAATCCAAACTGGCCTTGAAGACCTTGCAGAAGACAGACAGGTAGTATCAAAATAAGAAAAGATAATGGAGCAAAACCAGGGAATCCTAGAAAGAGCGGCATATGCAAAGGTTCAGAGGCATGAAACAGCACCACATATTTAAAGAACTGAAAGCCCATCAATATGAACAGATGTGATGGTCTGTTCCCCGTTTCCTAATTAGTCATAATTTAGGGAGGATTGATCCAATCTGTTGAAAGGCCTTAGACACAGAACTAAGGCCTCCCTGAAGCAGTTCCACCTGTGGACAGTAGCTGTCACTGTGCATGAGTGTTACAGCCCGCCCTTCCAGATGGCCTGCCCTATAGAAGTCAAACGTGCCTGCTCGGTTCCAACATGACAAAAGCCAATTTCCTACAATCAGTCTCTAGCACACCACTTATGTTTTTCCAGTTGAATCCTAATAGATACAGTAGGGTAATAAAATTTAAGGCAGAATCAGGTGCAAAATTGAAGGATGAAAAGTGCATTTCCTTTTAACATGCTAAACCACTTGGATATGACCCTATCAACAATAGGAAAAGCAAGGTGCATACAATGATCAGGGAGAGAGATGACTCTTTCAGGATTTGCTATAGAGGATGAACTGGGACAGGAGGCAGGGGGAAGAGAGAGATACTAGACATTGGGAAAACAGCAAAGCTACACGTGGGAGAAGAGGAGAAGTCAAAAGTTTGTTACAAAAGCATAGGGAACAGTGTTCTGGGAAGAAGTATGTGGTCCAACCAGGTCTGCAGCATCAGAAGGGTGTTGCAAGCATCTACCACTTGTGAAAAAAGGAGGTCACTAAGGGCCTCAAGAATGGCCACAGTGGAGAGGAAGAACTGGAAACTAGATTGGATTGGCTGAAGGGTGACTGGAAAGTAGATTATTCTGCCCAAAGTTTTGTTTATAAGGGAGGAGGGGAAAGTGGCAGAAGAGACACAGAAGAGGACACAGTGTCAAATGAAGATGCTTAGATTGGGTCACCACCTGCCAGGACATTACAGAAAATAATTAAGATGGGGTGAGTTATTCTGAATGATATCTAAATTCCCTTGTAATTCAACATGTCCACAATATCACCTTCCAGGAACATTACCTTCTAAATGATGTTTCTTCATCATCCAAAACAATGACTAGCCTACTCAATAAGTATTTGTTGAGTGAATGAATGAATGAATATTTAAATGAGCTTCTCCCCCAAACAAACACATACAACCTTTTAGTTGGAATCACGTGCTTTAATGTAGAATTGTTTTTAACATTTTTAAGAGACCACAAGTGCATCCCAGAGGCCATGAAACCTAATAGAATGACTCTAGTCTTCTCCTCTGACCTCCGGAGGATGTGAGCAAGACAATCCAGATAACTTGGGTTTCTAAGTGGGTACTTTTAGCTTGAATTTTTTTTTCTGAACTATTTTAGAGTAAATTATCAGGAAAAAGGCCAAATCTCTATTTTAGTATACAAGGTTTTCCTAAACGGAGCAGGAGTTTATCTGTCTGATTTTCATTTAGATTCTACCACTGTAGGTGGAATGAATTATTAACCTCTTCTGATACATCCATCTCCTGTTATTTGGTCTTGGTGGCAATTTATCACTGACTGAAGTAAAGACAGAGAAAGAGTATGAAACAAGACTTCTGGGAAAAGAAAAATAAAATAAGCTTAATTGGACGTATAGCATAATGAATGTAATGAAGGCTGTGTCAGGTTGCTGTAAAAATGGGTCCCTGTTGGAACTTCCCCRTGCATTACCTGCATGGAAAACTTTGGTTTTTCCATTAGTGATTCCAGAAGAGCTTGCCTCCATTTTTATTGACCTTCTGCCTGGTGGGAGTGAGGAATGCCTGACCACGGGCAGGCGACGACGTGACCCTGGACGGCTTGCCACACTTCGCCGTTGATGGATTTGCAAACGCTTTTCAGCCCCATGAATAGATAAACTTAAACCTGGAACRAGAAATAGCACCATTAGACTAAAGAAGTCAGTTCCGAATGACTAAAATGTCAGGTTATGTTCTTACACGAATACCAGAGAGCATAAGCCAGTATGTTTCAAATTCCTAAGAAATGCTAGTGATACTAGAATTGTAATATCAGTAGATTTTCATATAACTTTATTTACTAAACATTGCTTCATTCAAAAATGGATGTCCTTAGTAATACCAGCAAGACTTTTAGGAATGTATGTTCAACAAAATCAAACAGTAAACTTTTATCAAAATTATTTTCAAAGTCCTAGGAAAATATGCACATATTTGGCACGCTTTTGTCAGGGGCTGTGGGGCTTAGGAACTGTTTCTGAAGTGACTGGAATTTCAGTACAAATCAAGGAACATTCTCTATGGAATGCACAGATAGTCAGAGTCATCCACATTTATACCTCGGATAATCTAGAATTATGTGAATTTTTTAGAAATATTTTATTCAAGAGAATTTTAGACATACCAAAAGTAAAATAATAGTATAAGGAAACCCATGTACCTATCCCCGGCAACAAATACCAAGACTCTTCCATTTTTGCTCCATCTATCCCTCTCCCTTTGTTGTTGGTCTGCTTTTTCATTGTTGGAGTAGTCTAAAGCCAATTTTAGATATCATGTCCATCTCATCAAAAGCATATATTGATCATGTTGACTTACATCAATTTCATCAAAGTGGATYATATCCACAGATATATATCAACTGGTCAAAAAAGTTCTGAGCTCAAAAGATGTATTTTTTAAAATGCTCACTGATTGCCATTGGTGTTTGCTAAAATACCAATTCACTACTCAGGAAATTGATAAAAGGGAAAAAGTAAGCATGTATCCTGCCTTCCCTTTACCCACAATATTTCAAAAGACACAAAGAGTTGCTGAAAGAAAGTTATTCACTATAGAAAATTTCCTGTTAATAAATGCTGATGGGAAAGAAAATTATAAAATCATTTTAGAATCCCCAGTAAAATATGAAAGGTGACAGGATTTATCCAAAGAAACTCTGTGAGGACRGAGCTAGAATTCAAACTCATAGATGGCAGAATCCAGCTCTGTTTTTTAAAGAGAGTATTAGTCTTATAATGCCATCAAGGCAGTGGGACTTATCAGGAATCGTGTTATCTGACAGAGGAAAGCTAAGCTTCACCAAATTGCAGAACTTTTTATTAAGAATCTTTTGAGCYGGGCTGGGTGCGGCACAACTGTATCCCAGTGGCTCAGGAGGCTAAGACAGGAGGAACTCGAGTTCAAGGCCAGCCTCAGCAAGGGTGAGGCACTAAAGCAACTCRGTGAGACCCTGTCTCTAAATAAAATACAAAATAGGACTAGGGATGTGGTTCAGTGGTTGAGTGCCCCTGCGTTCAATCCTCAGTACCCCACCCCCCCAAAAGAATCTTTTGAATCCTGAAAGTATAAATTTAAATTTAGAGTTGGAAGTTATTTTAGTATTTAGAGTTGATGCCTTTTAAAGATAAGGAGACTGAGGCCTGGTAAGAGAAAACAATACATTTATAGATTATAGTACTTGGAGGCCACTGTGAGAAGTCTACTAAAATCCCAGTAATAGAGGTAATAATAAACCTGCACTCACAGATAAACTGCAAAACTCKCAATCACTGGTCATGCCAAAGATATGAAGAGTCACTTTAAATTCTCCCCCCGCCTCCGGGGAGTCAATTTATAAGTTCTAATGAACCTTAAGAAAGGAAAATATAAATTAGAATGGGGTTGGCTAGCAAAGGAAACATTAAAACAGTGCAATAGAGACAAATATGTGCAGTGCCGGTCCAAAAAGCAGTCTTGAACTTTAAGAATTGGAATTGCACAGCCAGACAGCCCTAATGTATGATTCTACTCTTCTTTATCACTAACTGTCCTCATTCTGACAGAGTCTGCCAGACGACATACGGAATGGGACTTGGCTCCTCGTACAGGAAGAAAGTAATCACACCAGCATCACTGCCTACCAGCAGGCAGGTTCTCAGTGTGAGCTAACCAACTGCTGTCCYGGGATTTTACACATTTACCTCCTCGTGAATTGCTTACTGTCCCCAAGATCTGGTTGCTAAGCCCATGATGCTGTGAGCCTGAGCCTCAGTTTTGGAAGACTCAACCAGTTTGGAAGACGGTCTGGCAGGCTTTCTCACCAATGCCCAGACTGTGTGAACCTTCTAAACCTAAATGTCTCTCTCTGTGGGTATGACTGATACCTCAGCAGCAACCTGTTTTTCTTCCACTCCACCCTGCTCCATGACACAWTTATTATTATTTCCACATTTCCACTTATGTGCAGCCTAAACATCTGTAAATACATCAAGACTCCAGAATAATCCAGATGAACTCACAGGTGAYAGATGAAGGGAATGGGAAAGACATTTGAAATCAGCATCAGATGATACACGCAGTCTCAGCCTGAAACTATGAAATAAACCACTGTCTCCAAAATGCTGCTTCTTGACCCACTTGTGGAAGATTGGAATGGGATTATGACTCAGTCTGGCACTTCCAAACTCTTGGGTAACTCCCTTCAAGGAAGCACAAAATGACATCAGACCATAACTATTACACCATGGAAATAAATGACATAGCTACTTAGAAATGTTGAATCCTAGGTTAGAAAATATAATAATGTGTATTATGGGGGAAATGTAAAAAATAAAGAACAGTTCATGAAGATCACCTGGAGAGGCTGGATATGAGGAGAGTGGGTCTGTTACACAGGAATTTGGGAAGAATCCCTAATGCCTGAGAAAATCCATTCCATTCTCTAAGAATCAAGAGTCCTCAGAGGTGCAGACAAAGAGACTGGCCCATCAGAGCTCTCCTCATATGGGAGCTAAGACCAGGGGAGACAGAGAAATGAATAAATGAATAGATAGTACACCAGAGAGCAAATAAACTCCAGATATCTGAGAAGGTTAAGATTTGTAGAAGATTCAGAAGTCACATGTCTAGAAGTGAATTGTTAGCCAATAAATGGCACCATCCAATTTGTTCTTAATTACTTCAGGAAAAAAAAAATGTTGACATGGCTTTTCTATTAAATGCCAGACACTGTGCTTAATATTGATCATTATCCCATCAATGTCTTATCACAACCATAAAAAAMCAGAGAATTTAATATCTGCATTTTACAAATGGGAAACCTGAGACTCAAGAGTTACGGGTCCCAGGTCATACAGAGACTGATTCACTGGCATTTGAACCCTATACCGTGTAGTCTGGCAAACTAAATACAGAGATAAATCGTTTAGGTCTAGCAGTGGTTCTGGATAACTTTACCCAGGCAGGGATTAGAAGGTGCAGAATTCTGACACTCTGTTATGGTTTAGATATCAGGTGTCCCCCAAAAGCTCACGTGTGAGATAATGCCAGAAGGTTTAGAGGTGAACTGATGGGGTAATAGAAGCCTTAACCCAATCACTGAAGTAAGCCCCTAACAGGGATTAACTGAGTGGTCACTGTAGGCTGGTGKGGTGTGGCTGGAGGAGGTGGGTCATTGGGGCTGTGCCTTTGGGGTATACATTTGAGGAGCTGAACTTAGTCTTTCCGCTTCTTGGTGCAATGTCCTCAGCCACTTTCCTCCAACACACTCTTCTGCCATCATGTTCTGCCTCGCCTCAGGTCTTGAGGAATGGAGTTGGCCATCAACAGACTGAGCCGATGAAACCATGAGCCCCCAAATAAATTTTTCCTCCTTAAAATTTTTCTTGTCAGGTCTTTTGGTTACAGTGGCCCAAAACAAAAAGCTGACTAAAGCACACTCCTTTGACCCAAGCTCTTCTAGAACTCTCTTTTGCAGACTTCACGCATGACATCATCCAGGCCGAAATGTCTTCTTAGTTCTTTTTTCAAAAACCCTCATCATTACAAACCTGTTTGYACTGGCCCTTCCTTGAAGCCCTTCTAGTTCCTCTGCTATTCCAGGCAACATTCCAGGCTTTCATGTTGCCATTTGCTCTCATTATGCAACTACTCTGAACTCTTGTTCACCTCCTGGTGTACACGTGGCCCATTGATCCTACTAGTTTAAGAGTCTTTACCAGCAAGGATCAGATTTTATATTTCCCTTCTTCCCCCCTCAGCTTTGAGCAAAGCACTTCCCATACAGCAGATGTGAGATGATGATCCTCCCTCCACCCCTTCTTCCCCTGCACTTTAGGAGTTGCAAAGACTCCTTGGACGTAAAGCAAGGAGATGACGCCAAGCATGTTTATCTGGGCAACAAGCTTCAAATTTATGCTTCCTTCTTCATTATACCCTTACCATCTTTCCCAAACTCCTGAGGCCTGAAAATTGGCTGCCTCCCTCAGCAATGACAGAAAGCTTCCTTTTCCATTCAGCTGAGAAGACGGAGCCCGGGTGACCTAAACTTTAACTCCTTCCCTCTTTCCACCTCAAATAATTTTTATGAAGACACCTCTTCCTCCTGAGAGCTATCATCTACCCTGATAAAAGGACTAAGGTCAGAACCTTGGAAAACACACAACTTTAGGAACAAGGAGAGAGACATACATATGGTGGTCAAAATGTGGGTTCTATAGTCAGAGATTCTGCGTGCAAATCTTAGCCACACCGCTTATCATGTTACCTTGTGCTGATTTTTTTTTTCATACCTGTTCAACTGGGATAACTGAGTTCATCCCTGACAGGGTTGTTGTGAGGTTGATTGAGTAAATGCCTCTCAAGTGCTATGGCAGTGTCTGGCATACAGCAGGTGCTCAGCTCCAGTTAGCTGCCATCATCATCTATCATATCAATGGCTGTTCCTCCCTCTTCATTATCCTCAGGCTCTGACATTTAACACGGTTGCCTCTGCTCATCTGTTTAAARCTCTTCCTCAGTTTTCATGACACAATTTTTGGCTACCTTTTACTTCTTTAAACTYTCTTGACTTTCCTGTTTCCCAAAATGGGGGGGCCTTAGTTTCCTACGTTGCTATAACAAATTACCACAACACTGGTGGGTTAATAAAATCACAAATTATTATCTCACAGTGCTAGAGGTCAGACATTTGAAACCAAGGTATTAATTATMAGGGCTACATTTCTTCTAGAAGCTTTGGAGGAGAATATGTTTCTTTTTTTCTTTTTTTGCCTTCTTCAGCTTCTCGTGGGTGCCAGCACTTCATGGGTTCCTTGCCATGTGGCCCCACATCACTCTAATCTGTCTCTGGTGTCACATCATCTTCTACCCTTTGTGTCTAGTCTCTCTCTGCCTCTCTCTCATGAGGACATTTGTGATGACATTTAGGGACCACCCAAAAATCCAGGATAATCTTCTCATCTCAAAATTCTTACCCTAATCCCATATGCAAAGAGGCTTTTCCCAAATAAGGTCATGTTCACAAATTTCAGGGATTAGCACATGGACATATGTTTTATCAGCTTACCACAGTGGGCATTTCCCAGACTTTGACTCTGGCCATCTGTTCTCTACATCCTATACGTCTGCGGGGATCTCTGAGGTCCCCAAGAGATCTTGTACACTCTGTGCCTCCGAAACCCCTGTGTGACCAGCTGCCCAAGTCATTCCTCCTGCTTTTCTCTGTCTCCTAAACTTCAAGCTCACCTTTCCTACTTGGCCT